TATTTGAATCTTATAACAAGATAACTCCAGAAATCAGATTCTCCCACTTCCCCAGGGTTTGCTGGTTTTGTTTTTATTGCTGTAGGGTATCTCTGTGCTAACTCTTCTCATGTCTTTCCAGAGCCTGCTTCCTTCCCTGGGCATGCACAGTGACCTTCTATAATCCCACGTATAAGTGGTTGCTTTTGAATATCTTAGTCCTTGATGTTAGGAATGTAAAATGGTGCAGTGCTGTGGAAAACATTATGGTGGTTCCTTAAAAATTAAATATAGAATTACCATCTGACCCAGCAATTCCATTTTGGGGTATATACACAAAAGAATTGAAAGCAGGGACTTGAGCATATATTTGTACACTCATGTTCATAACAGCATTATTCACAACAGCCAAAAGGTGGAAACAACCCAAATGTCCATTGACAGATGAATAGATTAAAAAAATGAGGTATATACATACAATGGAATATTATTCGGTCTTAAAAAGGAAGGAAATTCTGATACATGCTGTAACATGGATGAAACTTGAAAACATTATGGTAAGTAAAATAAGCCAGACACAAAGGTACAAATACTATTTGATTCCACTCATATGAGGTACTGAGAATAGTCAAATTATACATAGAGACAGAAAGTAGAACAGCGGTTACCAGAGGAATGTGGGGGAGGGAGAAATGGAGAGTTATTGTTTAATGGGTACAGAGTTTCAGCATGGGATGAAGGAAAAGTTCTAGAGATGAATAGTGGCGACGGTTACACAGCAATGTGAATGTACTTGATGTCATGGAACTGTATACTTAAAAAGGGTTAAAATGGTCAATTTTATGTTATGTATACTTTACTATAATAATAAATAAATAAAACAGTAGCAAGAATAGTATGATCCGTTTATAAACAAGTGATTGTGTGTAAATACATGTATAGACAGAAATATATCTGGAAGGATGATTGCCAAAATGTTTGTAGTAGTTATCTTTGGATGATAGGATTTCAATGATTTTAACTTTCAGTGATTTTAAAGTGATTTTAACTTTCTTATTTATACTTTTCTCCACCACTCTGTGTATTATTACCTTTTAGTCATGATGGTGTTGGGGGGAGACCAAGCTATTTTCATTTAAGTAGAGGGCCAAAATGAATGATCTAAATTCAATCTAATATTGCCTTTTATGAGCGTTCTAAATGTGTTACATTTGACTGAAAGCTAAAAATGTGGACTACTGTGAGTCCTCCACGAGAAGATGAGAACTACCTGTAGTTATACTTTGCTTTATTGAAATTACTACTGTTTTTCTCTTTAAACTTTTATTGAAGTATATCATACATACAGAAAAGTACACATAACTGTAGAGCTATATAAATTTCACAAACTAAACACACCCATATAACCAGCAACCAGATCAAGAAACAGAATATTACCACATGCCTTAAGGTCCCTTTATGTCTCCTTAATTGGCCATGCCCCAACAAGGGTAACCAATATCCTGACTTCTAAGATCATAGATTAGTCTTACAGATATTCATTTTTGCACTAATATTTAAAAAAAAAAAAATCCATTCACCTTGACTGCTAATATAAAACCAAATGAAAGACATTGGAAGTATTTGTATGATAAATCCTGATATGCAAGTAACATTTAAAGCAATCACATTACTTCAAAGTCATACTTTGTCTAAAGTACCCAGGTTTTTTTTTGGTATCATCATTAATGTACTAAACCCTCTGCTTGTATGCCAGGTACTGTCCTAAACACTTTACATACATTCACAGATTTAATTGTCAGAACAATTCTATGAGATTCAAAGAATTTTAACAGGGATAGATGGCTAATTGATAGAGACAGAGTTTAAACCTGGTATCATTAACACTTCAAAACCCATGATCTTTTTCTGATATCATGTTAGAGTTAGTTAACTAAAAAATTGCTATGAATGAGAAATAACAGCAAAACACCATGAAAAGAGATAGGGCTTGAGGATAATTTAACAAGATAAATGAGCTACAGATGTGAGAAGGTATACACTGGGCAAAGCACAAAACAGGAATAAATAAGGCTTGTGAGACACTAATTGAATTTATGAGGTTTCTAAAGATGACACTAGTCAATGTTTGTGCTATTATGGTGATAGAGTTTACTTCTATGTATGTTACAAGCCCCATATTGTTATTTTTACTTTAAACAGTCAATAATTTTTAAAAGAAATTTTAAAGAAAGAAAAGAAATTATTTCTATTTACTTAGATACTTACTACTTCCAGCATGCTTCATTCCTCTGGGTAGATCCAAGTTTGTATCTGGTATGATTTTCCTTCAGCTTACAGCTTCCTTTGACATTTTTTTGTACTGTAGATCTACTGGTAACAAATTCTCTTGGCTTTTGTATAAAACTATCTTTACCTCACCTTCACCTTTGAATAATTCTCACTGGATACAGAATTCTAGGATAATGTGCAGGTTTTTTCTTTCATCATATTAAAGATGTTCTGGTTTGCACTGCTTCTGATAAGAAATTTTTAATCATTCTTATTGTTTTCTGTATTTAATGTGTCTTTTTTCTCAGAAAGTTTAATTTCTCTATTGTTAACACTCAGTAATTAGATTATGATATGCCTTAGTACAGTTTTCTTTGTGTTGATCTGTTTGAAGCTCATTATGTTCTCTGGATCTGTGGGTTTAAAGTTTTCATCAGCTATTATTTCATGTGATCCCTTCCTGACTCCTCCTCTTCTGAGACTCAAATTACATGTTAGATCACTTGATATTGTTCCACAGGTCACTAATGCTCTGTTCATTTTTTTTTTTTTTTACTTTTTTCTTTCTGTACTGTGGATAGTTTGTATTACTATCTCCAATTTCACTGATCTTATTTTCTGCAGTGTTTAATCTGCTTGTTAAACCCATTCAGTGAAGTTTTCATTTTATTTCACTTCATTTCAGATCTTTCATCTCTAGAAGTTCCATCTTGTTCTTTTCTGTGTCTTCTATTTATCTCATTATGTTCATGTTTTCCTTTAAATTCCTCACCATATTTATAATAGATGTTTAAAATCTTCGCTTATTTGATAATCTCTGTTTTTTCTGGGTTTATTTATATTGCCTGATTTTTCTCCTGATTATGGGTCACATTTTCCTGCTTCTTCCTAGTAATTTTTCATTGAATGTTGGACACTCCGAATGCTTCATTTTTGGGTGTCTGAATGTTTTGGTCTTCCTTACGTTCAGCTTTATTTTCACAGGCAGTTAACGTGGCCTGCAGATCAGCTTTCAAGACTTGTTTTTAAGCTTTGTTGGTGTGGGCTTATGGTAGCTTTTAATCTAGGGCTACTTCAGCCTTAACATTATGACCCTTCTGGGGTGTCTACTGAATGTCCCAGATGTTCAACACAGTCTCTTCACTGTGTCTGATCAGAATTTGACTATCTCTCAATCCTTGGTTAGCTCTGGGAATTATTTCGTTTACAGCCTCCTGGTAGTTGTCCTGTCCCCAGGTATTGTTCTCTGCCCAACCTCTTGAATCTCATTCTAAATATGCTCAGCTTAGGATTCAGCTAAAGACTCAATGGGACCCCATGCAGATATCTGGCGCTCTTTCTCTGGGTATTGCCTTTCTCTCTGATACTCTGCTCCACAAATTCCAGCTGCTGCAGAGCCTCCTTGAACCCTGATCTCTGTCTCCTCAACTCAGTGAGACCACTATGCTCTGTTTGGAATCCCCTTCCATGAGCTACAATCCAGAATGTTTCTCCAGGAAGAAAATCAGGGCCATATTACGGCTCTCTCTGTTTTCTTTCTTTCAATGATCAAAATCCTGCATTGCCAGTTGTCCAATATTTGAAAAGAGATATTTCAAAGATTTTGTCCAGTTTGTAATTTATTTACAATGGGAGTGCAAGTGCAAGTCCAAAACCATTACTCCATCATGGCTGGGAATGGAATTCGCCTCTCTGTTCTTTTTTTAAGGTGTGATATTGGGATATCTTTATGGTATTACTTTTTCTCCAATCATGAAAGTGATAAAAATCATCACTTTTAAACATTACTATCTCTTTGACAGTCACCTTAATTTTAAGTGGTACTCAACAACAATCAATTTTATTTAGAAATATATTTTCCTCAATTTACAGCCATGCTAAGATAAACAACTAGAGTAGCAGGAAAATGAAATTGCATTCCTTACCTAGCACAATTTATTTAATTTGAATTCCATAAAATCATTTCTTTATAAGTAGGAAGAGGTTTTTTTAGTTCTCTTTTATGGATTAAAACAACACAAATTTATTCCTTTACAATTCTATTAGTCGGAAGTCTAAAATCAAGGTGTTGCAAGGGCTGCATTTCTTCTGAAGGCATCAGGGAAGAATCTGTTTCCTTGTCTTTTCTAGCTTCTAGAGGTCAACTGTACTCCTTGGCTCATGGCCTCTTCCTCCATTTTCAAAGCACATCACTCTGACATCTAGTTCTGTGGTCACATCTGCTTTTCTCTCACTTTTTCTCAACATATTGCCTCTCTCTTATAAAGACCCTTATGATTACATTGGGCCCACCCAGATAACCCAGGATAATCTCCCCACCTCAAGATCCTTCATTTAATCACATCTGCCAAGTCCCTTTTGCTGCGTAAGGTACCATATTCACAGGTTCTGGGGATGAGGACATGGACATCTTCGGGAGACCATTACTTTGTCTACCTCAGTGTGAGTATCTGCTTAGTTTCCAACACTAACCTCTAGGAAATCAGAGATAGATGAACATGGCCCTCCCCTTGAAGAGCTGAATTCCAGGCCTGAGGAAAGATTTAGTTCACATAAAATGTAAAGTTTCTTTGAGTTCATTATGTCTTATTTGTCTTACAATGATTAGAAAGCAAAACAATTAGGACAGCTATAAATAATTAATATAAGAATAAACTATGTCCTACAATACACAGAATCATTTTATTTTTATGAACTAATGCAAAATACAACAAGGGGGTGAGAATAGAAGACAGAAAATGATAATTTACCTCTTATTTGCCTGTCAACAACTCTCATTTCCTTTCTTATCTTCAAAGCCCATTCATTGACCTGGGAAAAATTTTAGACAAGGAATTATATGAGAAGGCAACATTCTTAATTCATTGAATTTTAAAGAATTTTATATTAAGTCTGTATTTATTCCAGACATAAAAGAAATAAAGCCATTTTCAAAGAAAGAGCTTTAGGGCCAAATTCTGTTTTTTTCATCTTTTTATTCAGAGTACACAGAATTTCCAAGCTATTAAGGATTCTTATCTGCAGGCAGGCAGTAAGAAGCACTTTATACAAGACCTCACAGAGAGTTCAGTACCCTGCAAGTACTTAAAGATTTTTGTAGAGGTGCATGGGCAAGGACAGGTTTTAAGAGCATCAGAAGATTTTCAACTTCTACACATATTTATTTCAAAAACTGCTCTGCCTGTGTTATGAAAGTTCACCTTTTCCTTCTCCCTTTTAACAATAATGCTTTTTCATTTTACAAAAGAAAAATATTCTTCTAACCTGTCTCTTGTTACCATGATATATTTCCCTGAGAGGCAAAAACCTCTGAAGCACTACACATAGGGCCAACTGGAAATACTGGCATAGGTGTTGAGAAAATAGTGAACGACTCTAATGATTATCAAATTCTTATGCAAGTAAAGTGTTTTCCAATTCTTCAGTTTCAAAAAAATTGAAGGAAAATCTGAGTTGTCAGCTGATAAATCATTAAAACTAAATTTTACATTAAATCACTGTGCTTTTCGGCATGTGTCACAGAAGGTCAAAGAACTGAGTGACAGTGACACAACAAAATTCCTTCCATTACCATCTACTTACTTATATTAACATGCTTCTCAGCACTTGAGTCTAACGAAGTATAAAATAGGGCTTTCTTCCAGTTTTAGCACCTCAGGATGAAGATCTCTTGTCTACACCTGAAGCCATGCCATCTAAGGGCCCGCTGCAATCGGTGCAGGTCTTTGAATGCAAGAAGATTGCTACAGCCCTGGTACACTGCAAAGGGGGCAACAGCCTCACTAGGTGAATGGGCGACCCCTGGAGATAATCCAACCATGATGTAATACAAGCTACTGGAACCTGTTCTGCTTCTGGGCGAGGAGCGATTAGCTGGCGTGGACCTCCATGTCCATGTAAGAGGCGGTGGTCATGTGGCCCAGATTTACAAAATCCGTCAGTTCACCTCCAAAGCCCTGGTGGCCTTTTACCAGAAGTATGTGGACAGGCTTCCAAGGAGATCACAGACATCCTCATCCAGTATGACTGGATCCTGCTGGTAGCTGACCCCCTGTTGCTGCAAATCCAAAAAGTTCAGAGACCCTGGTGCCCACAATCGCTCCCAGAAATCCTACCAATAAGCCCATTATGAGGATCAGGGTTCACCTTTATAATAAAGAATGGTCGTGGGATTTAAGGTTAAAAAATAAGAAGATAAAGCAGGAATAGAATTGATGCTGAACCTTTTAGCATTCATCCATGGATACATGAACTAAATGGCATAAAAAAACCCATACCATTAAGAGAAGATGTATTTCCAATAAATTTCACTTTCAATGATTTAATTAAAATCATTTAACAAAATCTGTAAAACATTTATTAGGTAACAACTATAGTAACTCCACTCAGAGGAAATATATGTATATTTTTTTTTTGCTGAGGAAGATTTGCCCTGAGTTAACATCTGTACCAATCTTCTATTATTGTGTATGTGGGTCGCCACCACAGTGGGGCTGCCAACAGGTGGTGCAGGTCCACACCTGGGAACCGAACCTAGGCTCCTGAAGCAGAGCATGCCGAACTTAACCACTAGGCCACGGGGCCAGTCCCCAGAGGAAATATTAAAGTACTTAAAACTGTATGGCTATACAATTTTTAAAAATTTTAATGTTATGTTTATAAACTTTTTAAAGTGAAATTCACATAACATACAATTAGCCATTTTAAAATGTACAGTTCAGTGGCAGTTAGTGCCTTCACAATGTCGTGCAGTCACCAACTCTCTCTAGTCTCAAAACTTTTTCAATGTCAGAAGGACACACTATATTCTTTAAATAATCTCTCCCTATGTCCCCTTACCCCCATTCCCTTGCGACCACTAATTTTCTTTTTATCTCTTTTGATCTGCTTATTTTGGGTATTTCATGTTTAAGAAATCATACATATATGGCCTTTTGTGTCTGACTTCTTTCATTTACTGCTGTGTTTTCAAATCCATGTTGTAGCACGTATCAATACTTCAGTCCTTTTAAAGGCTGAATAATATTCCATTTATTATTTTATTGTATATTGTATATAACAAGTATATACCACAACTTGTTTATCCATTCATCCATGGATGGACATTTGGGTTGTTTCCATTTTTTTGGTTATTGTGAATAGTGATGCTATAAACATTTGTGTACCAGTATTTGTTTTTGAGTGCCTATTTTCAATTCTTTTTGGTCTATATCTAGTTGTGGAATTGCTGGGTCATATGGTACATATATGTTTATCTTTTTGAGAAACTCCAAAACTGTTTTCAAAGTGGTTTCACCATTTTACATTCCCACCAGCAGTGTACAAAAGTTCCTATTTCTCCACATCCTTATCAACACTTATTTTCCAATTTTTTTTATCACAGCCAATCTGCTGGACCTGCTGAAGCAGTATCTCATTGCAGTTTTGATTTGCATTTCCTTAAAGACCAATGAAATTGAGTATCTCTTCATGTGCTTGGCCATTTGTATATGTCCTTTGGAGAAATATCTATTCATGTTTTCTATCCATTTTTAAGTTCAGTTGTCCTTTTGTTGTTCAGTTGCATGAACTCTTCATATATTTTGATAGTAGAATCTTATCAGACATATGACTTGCAAATATTTTCTTCCATTCTGTAGATTCTTCTCATTTTCTTGATAATGTCTTTTGATGCAGAAAAGCTTCTAATTTTGATGAATTCCAATTTGTCTATTTTTTCTTTTGTTGCTTGTGCTTTTAGTGTCATAGCTAAGAATCTATTGCCGGATATGAGGTCATATTTATCCCTATGTTTTTTTCTAAGAGTTTTATGGTTTAGGTCAAAGACCTTAATTTAGATTTTTGATCCATTTTGAGCTAATTGTTTTTAATTTATTTAATACATCTTTTTTTGTGTGAGGAAGATTGGACCTGAGCTAACATCCCTTGCCAATCTTCCTCTTTTTCCTGAGGAAGATTACCCCTCAGCTAACATCCGTGCCTATCTTCCTCTATTTTGTATATGGGATGACACCACAGCACGGCTTGATGAGCAGTGTGTAGGTCTGTGCTTGGGATTTGAACCTGTGAACCCCGGACCGCTGAAGTGGAGCACACGAACTTAACCACTACGCCACTGGGTCAACCCATTTTGAGCAAATTTTTGTATATGAAGTGAGGGAGGAGTCCAGCTTCATTCGTTTGCACATGGATATCCACTTGTCCCAGCACCATTGTTTGAAGAGACTATCCTTCCCCCATTGGATGGTCTTGGCACCCTTGTGGAAACTCAACTGGCCATAGATGTATGAGTTTACTTCTGGATTCTCAATTCTATTCCATTGGTCTATATGTCTATCCTTATGTCAATACCACAGTTTTAAAATTTCTATAGCTTTGTAGTAAGTTTTGAAATCAGGAAATTTGTTTTTCTTGCTTAGTACTGTTTTGGCTATATGGGGCCTGTTGTATTCCATATGAATTTGATGATCAACTTTTCCATTTCTGCAAGAAAGGCATTTGGAATTTTGATAGGTGTTGCACTGAATCTGCAGATTGCTCTGGGTGGTACTGCCATCTTAACAACATTAACTCTTGCAATCCATGAACCTGGAATTTTTTCCAGCAATGTTTTGTAGTTTTCAGTGTACAAGTGTTTGCTTCCTTGGTTAAATCTATTCCTCGATATTTTATTCTCTTGAATGCTATTATAAAAGAAATTTTTTCATTATTTCCTTTTCAGACTTTTCATTGCTAGCATTAAAAAAACAGATTTTTTTATGTTTATCTTGAAACCAGAAAATGTGCTGAATTTGCTTTAACTAGTTTTTTTGCGCATGAGGATTCTTTGAAGTTTTTTATATACGGAATCATGTCACTGCAAATAGATAGTTTTACTTCTTCCTTTTCAATGTGGATGACTTTTATATCTTTTTCTTGTCCAGTTGCTCTGGCAAGGACTTCTAGTACAAAGTTGAATAGTAGTGGCAAAAGCAGGTATCTTTGTCTTGTTCCTGATCATAGGGAAAAAGCTTTCAGTCTTTCACAATTTAGTAAAATGCTAGCTGTAGTTTTTCATAAACGCTCTTTATCATGTTTAGGAAGCTCCCTTCTATTCCTAGTTTGCTGAGTGTTTCTTATCATAAAAAGTATGTACGTATTTTTGTTCCAAGTATAATAGGATGGTTACTAACTCATTTTAACCATAAAACTGTTACATCAGGAGAAATTCATGTGGTAAAGGTGGAATAGAAATTTCCCTTTCAAGGAGAAAAAGAATAATGAAAAATATCCAATTATAAATAAGAACTTGTGGAGTTTAGGTCAAGATGGCGGCATAGGCAGACTCTGAACTCACCTCCTCCCGTGGACACAGCCAATTTACAACTACTCGTGGAAATATTACCCCTGAGACAGAACTGAAAACTGGATAAGAGGAACTCCTGCAACAACGGACAATCCTAACTGGGGTAGAAGAGGCAGAGACTCCCTTCTGGAG